TAGATGCTGACTTGGAACCTGATGAATGGGATCGGTCTTGCTGGAGTACCACAAAGCCTGCAGACTCGGGTTGATGCATGCCCGAGCTCACCTGAGCGGATAGGTTCGTGGAAAGACGACAGCCGGCGTGCAGCTGGCAAAGAAAACAAGAGGGGTTATAAGCGCCGGTGGAACACGGGTCCAAGGTGGGGCATGGATGGTACAAATGCAGTAGCTGGAAACAAAGAGCATACAGCCAGACAGCAAGCACTGGCACGACTCTGATACGTTGTCGTGGGTGCGTGGACAGTCAGGCAGGTCCTGGAGCTCAAGCAAAGACGTGTATGGGTTTATGCCGACTGTGGCTGCAGATGGTGCAATCTGACTGACTGGGTCAAGGGATAATGTGAATGTCGTGCGAGAGGGGTGCCTCTACAATGAGTTTGCCACTTGAAAATCTCAGTTGACTTGAATGCTAAAGGGTTTTCTACAGTCGTCTGACATAGATGGCCTGCCGACTCACGGTACAACCAAGTTCTAGTTTGCGGGCATGGAGCTGTCGAGAATCTTCCACTCCTTGCGCCGAGTGCATGGCTCAGCCTGAGATGGCTGGGGTTCGGCTTTGGATACGGTTTCCTTCAAGCGAAAGCGCGTACAGGGGTCGAATTGGTTCGCCTCACGTAGGCGTCCGTAGGTCGTACCCATGTGCAGACGGAAAAGACCACTCGTTTCAAATTCTAAACCCTAAGCCCTAAGCCCGGGACAAAACATCCTAAGCCCAACACACATCTGATGTCTTACTGCCCGGGTTGCACAGGCAACACCCCAAGCCCTGGGGGACTTCGTAAGTCGGTATGCTTTATCGAGTTGTAAATGCCAGAACCCCACTGAGGTAACTTATTACCGACTTATCAATTCCCATACCTCCCCTTTATAGACCTCCGTCTGAACCCTAAACACTACATCCTTTTTGAGGAGCCAAGATCCATGCACTAAATCCTCCGATAGTCTAAGTACGCTACGGCCTCCAGACCCTAGGCTCCTGACCTACCATAGCCGTACAAACGGCTTAATCTAGGTAGGATTTAGGGTCCGGGTTTGAGGGTTTAGGGTTGAGGGCTTAGGGTTCAAGGTTCAAGGTTGAGGGTTTAGGGTTGTGGGTTTACGGTTTAGGGTAGTACCCTTTTGTCCTTTGTATTTCCTGGCCTCGTTCGGAAGACCGAATATTAGGAAGCAGGGTACCCCTGCTGTTAAGGTGTGAGTGGAAAACCTATGGGAATAGTTTGGTACTTGGGCTTAGAATATAGGCTTGTGTAGTTTAGTTTTTGGAAAGGCAAGTATGAGTATTCGGTACTTGGACCCTTGGGGCTATGGCCGTTCACAAGCCCTGAACCAGCAATTTGGCAAGAGGAGAAACTCACTTCGGCGCAGTTTTACTACGCATTCTGCGTGTCGGCAAGGTTCGCGCTGCCTCGGGCAGCGTCTTGCGAGGGTGTGAAACCACCAGATTCTTGCCCCTAAACCCTCCGCGAATCGGAATGTCTGTACGCACACCCGGAAGCTGATAATCCCCAAGCCTTAAAATAAGCGCTCTGCTTGTTTAGGTTTATGGGGTTTAGGGTTTAGTCTGCTTAAGCACCTCCTGACAGATCGGTGAGGGGTCCTAAAAGTAACCCTCGTAGCTGAGTTGCAAACTTCGACTTTCTTGGCATAATACAGACCTGCTCTCAGCTGAAAGATGAAGCCCTCCTGGCTTGCGAAGCCTCGAACTAGGTCCTTCGTCCTACACCCTAAACCCTCCTTCCCAGCAATACCTCAGATCACGGTCCTTCTATCTGTTTGCTCGGAATTTCGCAAAGCAGGCCCTCAAACTTGAGGCAGTTGAGCGATCTTAAGAGTCTATGTGCCTATAAGCAAACAACACGTTGACGTGGAGGCCTTCAAACGGCTCTTAAAGACGTACTTTAGGAGCACATGGTCCCTGAGGAAGATGCCATCTGCAGGTCTAGTGAGGCTTCGTTTTTTCGTCATCTAGACTGCTGATAAGTCAACCCCTCTACCTTGACAGGGTTTTTTTATCGGGATCCTAGGTGCAGGGTTTAGGGTCTAGGGGGGGTGGGGTTGGGGTTTAGGATTAGTTCCAAAACCTGAACCCGGATGCATATGCTACCGCTATTCCGGGCAAATGCCTTTTGTGGAATTCACGCAATCATCGGGAAGTGATACGAAGAAACGTCCTTTTGGAAACCATTTCATCTTCGGTAATTCTTACATGAAAGATTAATAATGCATATATCCCATAGAACATGACATTCGATGAAGACTGTCAGTTCTGCATCGCAACTAGCGTGAGATTGGCCCCAGATCGCGAAAACCATGCGCCTCGTTCGAGTGATGCAGCTGTTCTCCCAACTTCGCAGTATCTTGGTCTTTGAATTAGTGCCTTGTTTTTTTAACCTTCAACTCTTAACCCTCTACCCTAAACCCTCAACCCTCAACCCCAAACCCTCAACCTGAACCACTAAACTCACTAAACCCTCAACCCCAAACCCTAAACCCTAACTCTAAAGCTAACCAAGTGAAGCCAAGGTATGGTGGAGACCTTCGTAGCGAGCTTGTCCTCGCTCTTCTGGTCTATGGTCTTGTTGTTTCTTGGCTATTTTTCATAAGGATTCCCAGGGATTGTTCAGGGTTTAGGTTTTAGAGCTTAGGGTTCATAAGGACCTTTAGGGAGGGTTTAAGGTTTAGGGTTCATAAGGAATCAAAGGGAGGATTTAGGGTTTATAGGGTTCATAAGGACCCTTAGGGAGGGTTTGCCATTTGGAGAGTTTCTGGTTTCGGGCTCTTGGCCCTGATCGAATCGCGTTTAGGGCTTAGGCTTCTCGGGCCTTTGAACTCATGAGAAGCATGGTTGATAGATACACCGAATTTCCGTATCATGGGAACCGTACCATATTGCAGGGCAACCTCAAGACAGCGAAGCAGCAAGCTTACGTCGCACATCTGACAATTGACCGCCGTTACTGTGACTAGATCTAGTTGAAGCATTGGCTGCTCGTTGTTCTTAATTGGCTACATGCAACCCTTCGCTTCTTGCAGCATCTACATTGTGCCTGCTGAACAGCTGGCATGTTAAGCTTAACCTCATACCCTAAACCCTAAACGGCCTTAACCCTAAGCCCTACACCCCCAAGCAATGCAACCGCTTCACTGAGGTCTTTCTTGCAGCACATGTAGAAAAAACACGGGTTTAGGGGTTAGGGAATTCGAACCATGCTGTGGTCCCAGTCTTGTCGCCTCAACATGGTCTTTCGGTCTCAAAAGGCTTAAGGTACCTTCCTGATGACATTGCAGGAGTCACAAAAACCCTTCTTCGCACCCCAGTAGGAACTCGTATAACGTAAAGATATGGAGACAAGGCTGGTCTGCATGATGATCGCAGCTCTGGTTCTTTGCGAATCCATCGTGCCGCTGATTGCCGCTTGTTGATGATTCGGTGTCACTTTTCTGAGACATCGAGGCCCAAACCCTGAACCCTAAAGCCTGAACCCTAAACCCTAAACTCTAAAGCCTGAACCCTACCTGGACCCCAAAGAACCTACCTGTTTTAGGGCTCCTTATTATGATTTCTTTTTAAGTCCTCACAGGTGACGGGGATTCCAGGTGCTCAAGATTCCAGTGGTGATGACATTGGAGAGCAGTTGGAGTTTGAGGTGCCTGTCTTTGCGGGGGGACAACGTCGGTACGGACAAGTTCTACCAGATTCCACCAATGCAGAAGGACATGTGTACAGTGTTTTCCCCTCGAAAGCGACATCAAGTTCTTCCATGGAAGGATACAAGGACGGTGTTGATTGCGTATACGCCAGAGTCCCTTGGGAAGCTGGATCATGCTGCAGTACAGCAACTGGAAGAACACAACTTCCCTGTGCCTATTTCACAGATGCCTGAGTATTACGTTGGCGACCTACCAGTGATGAACAAGGTGGAGCACCACGTGGACCATGGCGAGGGTGATTATGGACTTGGGCCCTTTATGGAGCAGACAGCAAGTGATATAGTGGACTCTGAAATTGAAGAATGGGACATGTACCTCGAGCTGAACAATGGCATGGTGAAGATCGGGGATGAGAGTGGATCCAGCATTGATGCGCAACCTATGCTCAGCAAAGTTGAGGTATGTTATACAAGAGGTATTGAGAAAATATTGTCCGAGCTGAGAGGCCCCCTAGAGGTCACGTACACCGTTGATCCGCGAGAGGTGGCAGAAAATCTTCAAGCTTGGACTCCAGCTATTAGAAAAGAAGTGGACGGTGTCTCTGTCGCAATATGCCGACTGCTCCCAGGGTCTGATACAAAGGCAGAGTGGCTGCATCGCAAAGGCGCCCAGCGCCTTCCTACAAAATTTGTGTTTACGATTAAACCGGGCGATTCGCCCCAACCTGGCCAGCCACATACGTGGTTCAAGCGGAAGGCAAGGCTGGTGGTGTGTGGCAATTTCGCCGCTGCCGACGACTCCAGCTTGTATTCGGAAACAGCTCCATCAGAATCTGTCCGAATGGGACTGGGCCCCTGTATAGGCTGAGACAAGCGCCGGCACTGTGGAGTGAGCATCGAGATCGAGTCCTTCAACAGATGGAGTTCCCCATGGGCATGCGGCTACATCGAGGTCGTACAGTCACTGCGTGGTGGGTTATAAGAGACCAGAGGGACCTCATGAAGGGAATCATCATCATCTACGTTGATGACTTCTTACTGATCGGAGAGGAGCAGACGATTAAGCAGGTGGTGGCGACGGTCCAGGCGGAATGGAAGACATCTGACCTGACCTTCCTACGTCCAGGACATCCTCTGCGTTTTTTGGGGATGGAGCTTGAGTTGAGCGAGGATGGGAAGGAGACCTACCTCAATCAGCGGGGATATCTCGAGGAGATTCTGCGGGCTCACGATATTGGCCCGGCGGAGAAAGACAAAATTCCCCTGAGCAAGGACGTGGCGGTCTTTGAGAGCATGGACACCGATGCGGAGCCCACTGCAAGTGCAGTGGCTGAAGCACAGCGGCTCACTGGCGAAGTGATGTGGGTCGCCCAGAAAACAAGACCCGATGCAGCCTTTGCTGCATGCTTGATGGCCTCTATTACATTGCGGGCTCCTACGAGATGTCTGGAAATTGGTTATAAGCTCCTCCGATATCTTCAGGCAACTAAGCACCTGCGGATGACTGTGGCCGACGACAACAGTGGCCTGGTCCTCTACCCCGACGCAGCGTTTGCGCCGTCGTCCGGGCGGTCGCATACAGGATGGCTGGTGTGCTGGGCCGGTTCGCCAGTGGCCTGGCGTAGCGGCCGTCAGGCGATTATCGACGGGACGGTTGGGATGTTGGGCCTGGAAGCTATGTTGACGGACTTAGGCTACGAACCTCAACCCAAGGTGATTGCAAGCGATTCTACAAGCGCGCTGGCTATAGGAGCTGGAACAGGGAGCTGGAGAACTCGCCACCTCCGGCTCAAGGCGGCGTGGATTCAAGAAAGGATCTCGGATAGGGAGATTACTACAAGGCATCAACCCGGAGTTCATCAGCCAGCAGACCTCCTTACCAAGGCATTGCCAGCGCAGCGGATATATGATCTACTACAGCTGTGGGGAATCTGGGGAATGTCAGGATGCAGAACTAGGTTAAGGTGACGACAGTGTGTCAGTCTTCAACGAGTTCAGCAACAACAAAGATGCTTGTGGCGCTGATTTGTTGTCTTATGATGATGACATTGGAATCGAGGAGTACCACAGCAAGCGGCACGGTGGAGCTCGATGGGGACATGATGGGTGTATGTATGGGACTTCTTATGATGCTAGGTGGTTTGGTCCTCTACGAGGCAGCCAAGTGGGGTGCATGGCAGTTTTACCAGGAGTATACTCCAGGAGCTTCTGCGCGTAAACTGAGACGCCTTCGGCGATTGAGGGAGGCGACGACTCAGGCGATCGAGAAGGAGCTGGAGAGACTATCGGCCTCACCGAGCATTGCGGTTGGAGAGCAAACCCCACCGCAACATGAGCGTCAACCTGGATATCCGGATGCCATCCCGGCTACAGAGCTTCGAGGACAGACACCAAGGAGGTCGACGTCATCACCGGGGGAACTGGATGGATGGTCAATCACGTCTGACTACCCGACCAGTGGACAGGACTCAATGAGAATTCTGTCCGACATGATTTCCTTGATGAGACTGGAGGATATCAAAACGGCGCTACGGGAACAGGGACTGAGGACGACAGGTTTGAAGGAGGATGCAGTACATCGACTGGCTACCCTCATGGAGCAGAACATGACCTCGTCGACATCCCGAATCCCCAACCCTGAAACAGTGCCGGTACATCCTCTGGTTATGGAGACATCGGGACCTAAGTGGACGAGTTCTCCTTACATGGGAATGCATTAGAAGTCGGACTGATATTTCGCAGACGATCCACAGATGGAAGAGCTTGTAGCTAGCGACAGTCTACCTGACGGTGACTGCGAGGAGGAGTGTGAATGCATCATTCCGGCAACTCTTCATATGTGATCGTTCGTTGTGGCCCGAAGGGGAAGGCTACGGAAAACATGCCCCCTTGGCCACGTGTGTCATGCTGTTGCGGACCAGAGCTGAACTTTGTACAATATTATCAGCCAGAAGCAACGAAAGCTTTTCAGACACATCCCTTTACTGTGAGCATAGCAGCTCAGTCATAACTCTTAATTCAGGTTCGCGTGTTGCAAAATCAGTGATGCCATGCGTTTGAAGCCATGGTTGCAATTCGATGACAGCTGAGCTGTCCGGGTTTAAGGGCCCAGAAGACCTTAAACAGGTTTAGGGTTTATCTTGCGGTCCTAGTAGCCAGTTAGTCGTTGTTTGTCGATCGCTAGAGTTTAGGCCCCCGTCACCTGTATGCTCTTGATGACTCCTATACCGCCAGACCCTAAACCCTAGAAACCCTGAAAACCCTATATAAGCCCAAGAGGCCCCATAAGCCCTGTAAACCCTATAATTCCTCCTGTAAACCCTGTAAACCCCTAGGTTTCTCCATGTCCGATGCGTTTGATATACTTCCGGTCCTGTAATACCGAAACAATGTTCCCCAGAAAGCCCAACCCCTTGAAATTAAGGGTAACCTTGACAGGACAGAGGGCTTCGTAACATATAAAATACTACCACCCTAAGCCCTAGTGTCACTAGATTGCACGCAATTGAGACTCTAGAAGCCATACCACCCGTGAACCCTGGCCCTAAACCCTCCATCACACACCATGTAAGCCCTAAATCCTCGGCCCTAAACCCCTAAACCCTAAATCGGACCCTAAACCCCGAAACCCTCAATGCTGAGGTCGACCCTACTGCTGGCATCGACCTAGAAAAGAAGGTGCCGGAGCAGCCTTTTCCCCTTTGTAGGGTTTAGGGTTTAGGGTTTTGGGTTTAGGTTTTTCGGTCTTGCAGCTGATGATGTAATAACTCACAATAAGGAACCCCCTAGACTAGTATGGGTAATTATTTCGGCCCCAATAGTAGGGTTTAAGGATTCCCGGGGTTTGGAGCTTAGGGTTTAGATTTTGAGGGCAGGAGTCTCTGGAGTCTGCTTTCAGGCTTGGACCATTGAGTTGGGGGCCTTACTCCAAAAGGGTCCAGGTGCCCCATAAAGAAATATACTTTAACCCTAAAGTACATCAGAATATATCGACTACTTTAAGGCCGAAGGGGAAGGGCGCAGATACACTCCACCAGACCCGTCGAACTCTCCGAGCCTAAATCCACAACTCAGGCACCATGAGCCACCTTAGGGCTGTGACGTACTGTTGATGATAGAAATCCTGCATTACCCTAGGGACCCCAAGCTATGGGAATTATGGTATATTCCTTACTATGGGTAATGCAGGATGTATATCATCAACCGTGGGGCCTGGGACTAGTTGGTACTCACATCTTCTTATAGACCCTATACAAGTATAGTGCAATATCTACCCAAACCCTAAGTGCCCAAAGGACCCAATGATAAGGTACTTTGGTTGCGGATGGTAGTTGTGTAGGTTAATATTTGGGAGAGGTTAATATTTGGGAGAGCTTATGAAAACTATGTACGTGGACCCTTAGGGAAGAACTAATCCAAATTATAAAGACCCTTATATTGGCACCTTGGAGCAGCTCCAATTCCTGCGACTCCTCCAGCCCTCAGTGTTGAGTCTGACCCTGAGGCTTTGAGGCTCAACATCCCACAAGAGCCTTACGTAGCTTGGTCTTTGGGTTTAGGGTTTAGTGTTTCGCCCAAAAGCCTTCACATACGAGTCTAAACCCTAAACCCTAAACCCTAAACCCTAGCCTTATAGGATAACATCCTGCACACAAGCCTCACGCAGCTTGGGCTTTGGTCCCAAAAGCCTTCCTGGCCCTGAGGGTTTCCCTGTAGCCCTAGGTTTAGGGTTTAGGGTTTAGGGTGGCCCTAGGGCTAGGACCCCCTAATTATAGGTTTCTTTTTTAACTTGGAACGGTAGGTTTTGGGATCCCCAGGTAGGGTTGAGGCCCCAAGCCTTAAACGCTTTACAGCCCTCATGACCGAGCTCAGGAAAACTTGTCGACCCTGCATTCAAGAGACACCCTTGGGCCTGCAAAAGCCTACAAGAAGGGGCCTTAAACAGAGGGTTTTAGGGTTTTTTCGAGTTTGGGGTTTAGGGTTTACCTATAGTATCCATTGTGGTTCCCTTTTTGGTTTAGGAGACAGTTACACATTTAGGATCCGATAAGGTAGGAACTACAATGGAGACTCTAGGTAAGTGCTGAAGCCCTGTTCCAGAGGAGTGGCTCTTGATCCGGTACGGCAGCTTCACTCGTGCCATGTACACCATGTTCGAAATCACGTTCCCTGGCAAGCGAGTATAGTGGCGTATGCAGCAGCAATCCTCGTTGTCGTCGTTATCGTCGGCGTCGCATCGGGTTTTGAAACCTTTTTGAGGGAAGGTGTTATGAGTTCATCAGGTGTCGATCCTGTCCAAAACTCGCAGGCTTAGATCATGGCAGGCCTTAATTTTGCAGCAGCAGGACATCCCGACGTAGGGAAGCCCGCTGTCAGCGCTTGGGTAGCGGGTAATGCGTAGGATCTCACTCTTTTCTTCGATCCTATACGTCTTAAACCCTTCAGGGTCCAAGTACCTAATAACCAATATATACTCTCCTATATATTAACCTAGACAACTACTATCCGCAACCAAAGTACCTTATTATTGGGTCCTTTGGACCCTTAGGGTCAGCTACAAAAGCACAGCCACATTGAACAAATGCGTTTAAAAGGCATTCCTGTAGCGCTCGTTTGAGAAAGTATAGTTTGTTTTTCATAGCATGGTGTCCGGGATTCAATCCTCGGCTGGCTTTGGGAGAATTGGCGAATGCGTGTTCCGCATACGGATTGGAGCAAACATGACGGGTGCAATGCCGCAGAGTTCGATTGTAGATCTTAACTTGAAGGTTTAGCGAGCTAAGTAATCAGACAGTTCCGAAGCCCAACTCCAAGAACCAATTGTGTCAAAGCTAAGCCCCACCTCAACATAAAAGTTTCAGAGGTGATTCTAAAACCCAAAACCCTCGAAACCCTAAACCCTCGAAGTTCCAAAACAGACCCTAAACCAAACCCTAAACTCTCGAAGCCCACAGCCCTGAACCCCAAACAGATGGCAAGGTTCAGCGGCGGTTGGCCCCTCCTCGTCCGACCCCTGGTGGACGATGTCAGCGTCTTCTTCGCAGTTCCGCACCCTGACTGCAAGCGTGGCCGATGTCTCTTTGTGTGTGTGGGTTTGAGTCCACTTTGTCTTTTGTTCCTTAACCTCTTCCTTAGTGACATAGTAGCATGTGATTTGAAGTCAAGTAGGGCTTGGGGTGTTTTTTTTGTTGTGATTTTCAGGTGCTTGATTTATGTCGTCGCCGTCGTCTTCGCTGCCTTGCGCCTCATCACCGCGCTCATGGTCCGTTCGACAATGCAGCTGGGCTTTAAGTCCTCGGACCATACCACAAGCCAAGATGTAGTACAATTTGTTGAATTTGTTTTTGGTATGCCAAGGTTCCTATATTATTAAGGTAACCCAAGAAGATACTACATTTAAGGCCCGAAACCCTAAACTCTTAAGACGTAAGATTGAGAAACCATTCGTAGGGAAGGTACTACGTTTACAGGTCTAGGTAGGGTCTCTGGGTGTGGAGGCAGAAGCCTGTTCAGAGTTGAGATTGGATGTTTGATCAAAGCGTGACCACATCCCTTGCTGGTGCCTTTAGCCTTTACGACGAGGTCTTTGGGGTAAGGGCCAGGGTTTACTTCCTTCCTAGCTCTCCAAGTAGGCCCTTTTCCCATTTTCTGTTCTTAGGTTACCCTAAACCCTAAACCCTAAACCCTAACTGTCCAGCACCAAAAGGGGAGCCCTTCTTATTCTCAGGTTATGGGGGATCCCAGTTCCTCTAGGGCTTAGGGTTCAGGGTATTTCCTCTATGCTTAGTCAAATATGGTGCGGCAACAAGCAAAATGCTGCTGGAACTGTTGAGGTCCCCTTTTCAGGGTTAAGGGTTCAGAGTTTCCCTTACCCCCCAAACAACCTACCTTTTGCAGGACGCATAGTAGGAAACCATAGTAAGGAGCCCTAAGAAGGTAGGTTCTTTGGGGTCCAGGTAGGGTTTCGACTTTAGGGTGGGGGGGCTTAGGGTTTGGAGCTCAGGGAAAACCCTCAAGATCTTGAAGACAACAGCCTGGACCAAATTCCGAAGTGGCGAAAGCCCTTAAAACAAAAGGGTCCAGGCAACAGAATCGTAATTATATAGTTTCGGCCCCCCAGATATCGACGAAGAGCCTGCTATACTTGGACCCTTTTTGGCTTCAACGCCTGATCTTAAACCCTAAACCCTAAACCCCAAACCCTCAACCTTAAAAGCCCTAAAACCCGCAGCCCTAAAACCCTAAACCCTAAACCCCAAAGGCAAGTCCTCAGCAGCGACGCAGCCACAGCGGTCCTCGAGCGTATGGAGAAAGCAGCCGAGCTACAGGCTCCTTTCATGACCTTAACCCTTAGCCTCTAAGGACTCATATTTTTAAAGCTTTTGGGCCCAAAGACACCATACTATGTAGGGCTTTTGGGCTGTTTTTAGCCTTAGGGTAAGGGTTTAGGGTTTAGGGCTTCGGGCTTAGGGTTTATGGGGTTAGGGGTTCAGGGTGTAAGGAGGTTTAGGGTCAAAGCTCCTCTAAGCCATCTATGAGGGTTCCTTTAAGGGATGTATAAGGGTGTAAGGGTTTAGGGGTTAAGGGTTTAGGGGTTTAGAGGTTTAAGAGTTTTGGGTTTAAGGGTTTCGGGGTTTGAGGGTTTAGGGGTTCAGGGTTTAACTGGCTTAGGGGTTGAAAGGTTTGGGTTCCCATAGAATTTATTCTTAGGGCTTATTATAGAACCTACAATCAAGTAGGTTCTGGCAGTTGAAGGTAGGGTTTTGGGTTCAGGGCTTCTGACTTTCTGAGGGTTCCTGGCGCAAGTTCGGACTAAAGGCGTTCCAGGGTACAGGGTCTAGGGCTTAGGGTTTATAGAAAGTGTTAAGGGTTTGGATGCCAATAAGTTGTTGGAAGTCGGCCAACCTTCTACATCTTGTAAATGAACAGAAGGTTGGCCGATCCGGAAAAGTTTCTCCGGTTTCTTTCATGTGTTTGGTTACGTTTCAAAAGATGTAGGGTTGGCCGACCCCCAAAACCAGATGGACCATCCTAAACCCTAAACCCTAAACCCTATAACTATCAAAAGGTGGGGCCCCTTGCGTCCTTTTTAGGCTCTTGGGCCGTTAAGCCGGGAAGCCTTTTCGATGCTTTGGCTTTGGTATCAGGGTCTTGGGACGTTTGGGGCTTCAAGGTTTTGGAGATAAGGCTTATAGGCTTTAGGGCTGTCAGGGTTTAGGATAGTTGGGCTTTTGGGGTTCCGTTTAAACCCAAGACCCCTAAACCCTAAGCCCTCAACCCGTGATAGAGGGCCGCTTGCATGAGGGAGTGAGGTGGTGTGGAACCGGGAGGTGTTGCAAGCGAGGGTTTAGGGTTTAGGGTTCTGGGGTTTAGGGGTTCAGGGGTTTACGGGATTAGGGTTTTAGGGTTTGGGTGTTTAGGGGTTTAGGGTTGTTTGTTGGAGACCCTTGCTTCTCGTCGAGCGGCCGGCACAGGCCGCGAGGAGGCCGCGAGGACCCGCAACCCGACACCAATCCATCTCAGCTATGCCTTGCCGTGAAATGTGGTCGTTTGTTTACGTGTCGAACTGCGAAGGGAAGCAGGGCGCAAGAAAGCCCCCTTAGGGGGGTTTGGGGGGTGAACCTTAAACTCGCTAATTGAGAATTGTTGGGGTGGTTTCCGATAGTGGGTGCACCCCTACTCCTAAAGTACACGGCCCACTGCACGCACAGTGTATACACAGCCTAAACCCTTAAACTCTCAGGACAAGCTTCTGGAGGTCTTCCATGATGCCGACAGCGACGGAGATGGTCGGTTGACTATGGAGGAGTCCGACCCCGGGGAAGCTTGAGTTTACCTAGGAGTTAAGGTTCCTGGAAGTGGTTTATAAGGGTTCCTTTAAGGGTTTAGGGTTTCGGGGTTTGGGTTTCGGATTATTGTTTTGGGTTGAGGGCTGAGAAACAGACAGGTGCCCTGGCACTTGAGTGGACAAGTTTGGCTTGTATAGTCTAGTTCAACTCAGAGCTGGCACTTGATTCTGGGCCAATTACAGCTGTACAGTACGTACGAAGATGCCGAGAACATGGTTGGTCGCCCTGCCCTTGGGAGGGTTCAGGGTTGGGGTTGGGTGTTTTGTGACTCTAAACCCTAAACCCTGAACCTTGCGATGTTCTGAACCCTATACCCTAAACCCTGCGATGTTCTGAACCTTGCATCTGAAGTTGCTTTTTGTTCCTGGTGCAATTTCTGAGGGTGATCAAGCTCAGTCACATTGGTGGCAGCATACAGCTGAGCTTCACCCTAACGGCGAGAACAATCAGCAGAAGAATAACAGAATAATCGTCACAATGTTCATACTAATAACAAACAAAACATCTAAAGTGTCAAGGCTTTCCGTTCGCGCCTGCGGCATCGGCAGCAGCAGCAGTAGCAGCCTGAACCGTGAGCCAAAACTCTGGACCAACCTCCACCCCGTAAAGCCTCTACTTAGGGTCCAAAGGACCCCAAAACCAAGGTACTTTGGTTGCGGATAGTAGTTATATCTTGGCTATTAATATTTGGAAAAGTATATGATCATTAGGAACTTGGACCCTTAGGGTAAGTCCTACATCCCAAATGTGAAAATAACGGGTTTCCTTACTATAGTTATAGTATAATGTACCCCCAAACCCTACTCTAATTATCAAGACCCCTTTATTATTAGTTTGGAAGCCTTATTAGCCTGAACCTGCAGGAGTTCGCAGCGATTTTGCAACACAAAGACGCTGGGCTCTGACTTAAAATTCCTTTCAGGCTTCAGCTAAACGGGCTTTTGCTAAGGACTTATGTAAGGAAGTCACAACCTTGAATCCTTAAAAAGGTAGGTTATTTAGGGGTTGCGATCTTGTAGGCGGTCGTAGGAGCTAACAGCTAGCCTGTACGGGCTGGGCTCGCTTCGAA